CTTCCCCAGAGGCTCCAGGTTGGAACGCCTGCCAGGGCACCCAGGGGAGGCCATTCCTCTCCTGAATCCCAAAGCCTCAGCAGAGGACCAGGCTCCCCAGCCTGGGCCGGCCAGTAAGCATGAGCGCTTGTTGGCACTGGAGCCAGACAGGGTGCTGAGTGGGACCAGAGTTGGGGAACCTGCTCAGGTCCCCAGGCCTTGGTCTCTATCTGGGAGTCCAAAGTTTGCCCACATCCAGTTTTCTGGGATGGACTGGGAGTACACTGGGAGTTCTAGGGACCCTGGTCCTAGCCCTGGTTAGATCTATTGACCTTGAGCGAGTCACTTTCCCTCTCCAGGCTCCAGACAACTGCAGGCTTTGTGCCAGTGCCACAGGGATATAAAGACCCACCCTGCTTAGCCTTGGCCTTGGGAGACCCACAGGCCAGCTTACAAGTGTGTTCTGGAAGGAGAGACTCTGTCTACCCACAATGCTGGCAAGCTCTGGGGAACCTTGAGAAAAGAGAGAGTCCTATGGGGTCAGGAGAGGAAGCTGCCATCTGCACTGGTCCCAGCAACCTGTCCCAGGCTTCAGCAGCTTGGTCACCCACCTGGAACGAAACGGCCCCCCTGGCTGCCCAGCCCAGAGCCTAGTGGGGAGTGTGACTCACTTCGTGGGGGGCCATTGTGGCTAATGTTTAACCTGCCTCCCTCCTTCAACAGGGCACTTTAGCCCCAGCAACCCTGAGCACCCGGGCCCTACCCTGAGCGCCCCTGCCATTAAGTGGGCTCCAGACACACAGCTGGGCTCAGACTCTGGGTTCTGTGGGGGTGAAGTACTCTAGAGGAAGGGGGTCAGCCCTGGCCTCCTGACACTCCAGGACAGGTGGGGCAACAGCAGGTGGCATCTTGCCCTGGTCATTCCTAACAGGGAAGGAGGAGCATCAGGCCAATCTCCAGCTGTGAAGGGTGCCCACCCAGCTGTCTTTTGTCAGTTCTTAAGAGACATCCACCAAGGCCTCCATTCCCAGCCGTGCCCTGCTGTTGGGGGAGACCTCAACTTTGCCCACCTGGGTGTCCCTTCATCTCACTTGAATACTTCCTCTTTGGTGGGGATGTGGGAACTCCCCCAGTACATATGCAGGGCCCCTGTCCCCAGGTGTCCCTCCTGGACAGTAGCTATTTTGGCTCTGTTGGGACCTGGGTTCCAATCTGCAGTCTGCAATCATTAAACCCTATGACTTAGAGGAAGATTTGTAAACCCTCCAAGACTCCATTTTTTTCTCCTGGAAATGTGAGATAATGATACCCACTTCTTAGGCTTCATGAGAATATAATGTTACTATTCCAATAAGGCATTCAGCCTAGTATCTTTATTCTTATTTGAAATAGTATTATTAATTAAGTAGGGAATAAGAGTATAGACGCCGACAGACTTCTTGGCTTAAATCCCAGCCCCACTTCTTGCTGTGTGACCACAGGAGTCATTAGCCTCCCTGTGCCTCAGTGTCCCCCTCTATAGAAAGGGCACGGTAAAAGTGTTTGCGCATGGGCCTTTCGTGAAGGATCCTGATGGCAGTGCCTGGTTGTAGGAATGTGCTGTCTGAGCTGCCAATCAGCAGGAGGCCCCGCCCCCTGCCCTGTTCCCCTGTGGCCAGGCAGCCACGTGAGGGTTCTCCCTGCAGAGAGGACCTGGATTGGGATCAGGGCTCTCCAGTGACCATGCCTCCACACTAGGCCCTGTTCATGCTTATAGCTATGGAGCCCTGAACAGAGGCCTCCCCGGAGAGCCGTGGCAGACTCCCTCCCTTCCCAGGTCTGCTCAAGCTCTTCATCTTCTCTTGCAAAAAGCAAGTGTTGATGCCCACCTTTGTGCTTATCTACCCTCAAGGAGATGGATTAGGTCTAGTCCCATCTGGAAGCAGAAGGAAGGACCTAATGATTTTCAAGAGTCCTCTAGGTTGGCCCTCAGTCCCTTTCCCAAAAGGCCATAGGCTTGGTATTAGGGGCCCTATGTCCCCCTCCCAGGTCCTCTGCTCCCCAGTATTTACTTTTTTTTTAGTTCTTTCTTTCTTTCTTTCTTCTTTCTCTTTTTGGTACTGGGGATTGAACCCAGGGATCCCCCAACACTGAGCTACATCCCCAGCCCTTTTTATTTTTTATTTTGAGGCAGGATCTCCTTAAGTTGCCCAGTCTGGTCTCTAACTTACGATCCTCCTGCCTCAGCCCCAGATCTCTGGGATTGCAGACATGTGCCACCACACCTGGCCCCGTGTTTGCTTTGAGTCAGGCCCTGGGCAGTTCTTCTTCCTCTACAGGTCAGGGTGGAGACCCCAATCAGCTGGGGCCCCAGGTTAATAGTCGACTGGAAGACTGAGATTCTGCTCTAGATTGGGGGTGGGTGGGTCAGGCTCTACGGAAGGGCTGGGAAGAGACAAAGCACAGAGACATGCTTTGGAGTGAGGCCAGCTGAGAGCAGCCCCGTGAGGCAGGGAAGGGTGGGTTTCTGTGGCTGCCCAGGCACGAATCCTAATCCCATGCTCTGTGCTGCGGACCAGCCCCGTCAGGTTCTTCAGCGGCTGTGTGTGACTGGGTGTGTCTGTGCCTAAGGGCTGTGTGTGTGGTGGAAGGTGTGTTCTCCACACACATCTGCCTCTCTGCCCGCTGACCTGTTTGTTTCAAGAGACCCCCCCCCACTCAGTGCTGTCTCCCCTTTGCATCCCAAGTTGTTGGTCCCCACTGTGGCTCCCTTGGAGGGGGAGGGCAGGCTCAGCAGGCCGGGATGCCAGAGAGGGGCCCAGGGTGGCTGGCCCTGCACTTTGCACCAGCCTCTAGCATTTATGGCAGTTGATATGCTGGGATCAGAGGGTACAACAGGGCAGCAGCAGGGGCAGGTGAAAGGAGGGCCATCCACACAACTCAGCTTCTTCCAGGGCCAGTGCTGGGGCAGTCCAAACGCCAAAGGGCCCCAGGTCTGGGACCAGCCATTCCGTGTAGGCTTAGCCAGGCATCACCACGACACAGCCCTGAAAAGTCAAGCTGCACTCTAGCCCAGAACTTTGGTCTCGGCTCCTTAGGAGCCACTTTCCTCAGTATTTGGGGATGAGGGGGCTGCCCCAGTCCCCACACCCCTCAGAGGCTTTGCATCCAGATGTTAGAAGAAAAAACCTGACTCAGAGGACAGACCACCAGCTGCCTCCACTTTGGTGAAAGAATCAGTCCTGAGGGGGTATGATGGGTGCAGGAGTGGGAGGGGAAATCCTGAGAGTGGAGGACAAGGAGTGTCCCAGGGAGAGCAGGGAAGCAGCCACCTAGTGGCTGATCTTGGAACTGCAAGGCATTCTGCTAGCGGGACTAGAGGGCAAATCTGGCACCACAGTGACCCACCCAGGTTTGCAGATGGGGTGGGGATGTGAAATCAGGCAGGGCAGGAAACTGAATGGATATGCCCTACTTGGTGACTGGAGTCTCAGGTAGGGCCAAGTCTGTTCTCAGAGGTCAGGGTTTTGGTGGGTGGAGCATGCAAGTTAGAGAGTGTAATGTCACCAGGACTAGACAGAAGGCGACCCAGGATGACCTTAACAGGCAGGCACCAGTTTTGATTCTGAGCTCCTGACTGTGGATGGTTCCTGAAGCCCAATTCAGCCCTCTATTCACAAACTCCACATCTTCCCTTTCTTCTAAGCACCTGATAGTGGTCAGAGCTACAGAAATGACCAGGAAAATGGATTTTTAATGGAGAGGCCACGATGCCCGTGGACACTACATGTCACAGCAGCAATGGAGGGGAGCTGCACAGAGATGCAGGAAGGTGCTCTCCCTGCAGTCCTCAGCTCGCTGCACCACAGGCTGGCCTCACTGCGGGGAGGTCTTCAGCTGGCTTTCTCTTTCCTCTCTCTCCTCTCGTACTGTGTGTGTTGCTTCCTGGTTCCGGGGAGAGCATGCAGGCTGGAGGGAAGAGCATGCAGGAGGGGTCAGGTGAGATGCTCCAGACAGAGGTGGGGCAGAGACAGGTGAGTGTGCTTGAAGGAAGGAGCCTGAAGCAGGAGCACAGAGTGCAGCATAGCAAGCCCGCCTGTGGGGACAGAGACAGAAGCCATTAGTTACAGTGACATGTGCTCTTTAAGAATCCCTGATTTACCGGCAGCACAGGCAACCCCCAGGCTTCTCTCTGAACTGAATCACCATCCTTAGTGTCTCCTGTGAAGCCTCAGCTTCTCAGTCCAGGACCCAAATCCTTTCTCTCTTTCTAGGCGGCTCCCTGGATCTTGTCTGGTCTTGCCATCCTCCTCTGTGACTCGTTAATTCCCACCTCTCTACTTTTGTTGCACCCCCCAGATCTTCCAACATGCCCGTCCCCTTCATTCACACACTCGCCTGTTATTCATCAGAAGACTCCTCTGTCCAGAGGGCCTGCCTGCGCTGTCTGCAGCCGCCTGCCCTACTGCGCATGCGCTCAGCTATCCCGCACGGGGCTTCATGTGGCCTAAAGTGACTGCTTTGCCCAGGGTTTCCAGCTCTTTGTAGAATGGGAGGTCTTAACTTCTCCAAATGGCACCTCCCTCGGAGCAGGGACTGAGTACTGGGTACTGTACAGGGTACACGGGGTAGGGACGTCCTCAGGAGGCATTTATGAGACCTTAGAGTCTCAGAAAGTCGGAGCTGGGGGAGGGCCTCTAGGATCTTCTAACTCAGTGTTCTCAGATTCTTGCGAGCTTCAGAATCATGCAGAGGGCAGGCCCAGCCCCACTCTCTCCAGTCCAGTGGGTCTGGGGTGGGGCCTAAATCAGTTGTGATATGGATGATGCTGAGCCCAAGGCCACTGAGCTGACACAACCCCCAGTTGTACACAGCGGGGAACAAAAAGGCCCAAAGCAGAAGCAGGTCTGAGCCGCAAGGGCTGAGCCCCGCAGTGCTCTTCTTCCTGCACATACTCCACTCCACCTCCCAGCCCCAAACCTGGAGTCTCCTGCTCCCCTGAGACTCCGAGAGTCCAGAGAAGAAGGGAGCCGTCTCTAGCTACCTCTACTGGGAGGTTGGAGACTTGGCAGCATCAAACATCTTCTTCCGGCCTTCCATGCCAGACATGGCCTCCACGTTCTTCCTCCAGTCGCCCACCTCCACAGGCCGTTCCTGTGGGCAGACCACACACACACACATCAGGCTAGAGGGGCAGCCAGAGTCACCCGAGCTCCAGAGAAATTGGACGGCAGAAAATCAGCCTCCTCAAAATGACAGGAAATCCCAACACCCCTGCCCAGTGGACAAGGTGCAAAGATTCAGCCAGACGTGGGGACGAGGGTCAAGCAGAGTGCCACAAGAAGGAGGTTGTGTGGATGGGGCATTCCGGGTGATGGTGTGACAGAGTGACAGGGCTGTTTTCCACCCTAATGCACCACAGGCCAACCTCAGCTCTGACTCCTACACCACCCTCTGCCTGGTGCCCTCCAGCTAAGGCCACCTCCTCCAAGAAGCCTGCTCTGATGAACTCAACTCATTTTCCATTCCATCGGCATACTCCCCGGCCCATCTCTCCTCTGTATGAAGCTTCCAGGGCCAGAGACTGTGGTCCTTACAGGACTCGTTGGTTCTGGGTACATGCACTGTGAGATCAGCCAACTTTGAGTGACTTGTTGCTGAGTGGCTGAACCCAGTTCTCTAATTCTTATGCTCATGCTATAGCCATGATGCTGTCTCCATTGCCTGGGGTGACAGGGGCAGTGGTCTCCCCACCACAAGTGTCCCCACATTGTCTTTATTCCCAGGGCAATTTGTTCCTCAACCTGCTTTTCTTTGTGTCCCAGTCTCCTTCTCAGATTAGAAGCAGCCTGAGAGGTGGAAGTCAGTCCTCTTTCTTTGGTTAATGGTCTCCTAGTGTGTTCTAGAATGTTCTGACTGGCTTCCCACAGGAGCTTCCGGCCCAAAAGATGAAGGCTAGTAGGGCAGGAGGTGGACAGTTCTGAGGAGAGGGGCCCTCACCTTCTCTGTGTCTTCCTTCTTCACAGACTTGAGGTTGGCCCTCAGGTCCATGGACACCTTGTGCTTCGAGCCCAGCAGAGCCCGGAGCATAGCATCAGCGGAGACGCGGACCCGTCGCAGAGGCGGGCGCTTGAACTTTCCACGGAGGTCCAGCACCTTCAACTTCAAGTCCTTAATCTGCAGGTGAGGAGGGGCCAGGCTTACCGGAGGGGTAGCTGGCCAGGGGTTCCCTTCCAAAGGACCCCAGACTGCTAGGGTTCCAGCCAGAGCCACAGCCCAAATTCCCCAGGCTCAAGGCCAGACCCTCTGGAACACTCAGACCACCCATCCCTTTGCAGATCACCAACATGCACGTTGATACATGGATGAACAGTTGCACAGAGATCCCGACCACCCCGTCCCTGTAGCCTTGGGCAGTCTGCCAAGCCAGAGCTCCTGGTGTGGAAGCCCTGTCTGGAGTATGGAGCAGCGTCCTCCTGTTCCTGAAGCCTCCTGCCTGCTAACGGGTCCCTTCATGGCAGCCCGGCCCCTTGGTCCAGAGGTAGAACCCCACCTCCCTGCCAGTCCTACACCCTGGGAGGAATTCCCAGGGTGTGGTCTCTGGAGGGAATTCTTGGGAGCAGATTATCACTATGGTGGGCAGAAGTGGGAAGAAGGATGCGGTCTGAGTTCCCACACTCCCTGCCCCGCTGCTGGGGCCAATGTGAAAAAGCAGCCCACCCGCCACAGGAGTCCTGTCCCCGCCACACACACTCTTTCCACTCCCTGGAGCAGGTCTGGATGGTCCCACACTCTGCGAGGGAGGAGCACTGAGCACCAGAGTGGGAGTCAGAACCCAGCATAGGTTCCAGGTCCACCACTGTGTGACCAAGGCCCAGTTCTCAGCCTCTCTGAACCTCAGTGTCTTCATCTGTAAGGTGTAAATAATAGCCCCCACTTCACCCCCAGGCACACAGGGAGGATCAAAGGACCTAAAGTACATGAAAGCCCTTCACAGAGGTAAGATGTCATTACGAGGCATCTGATTACCCGTGTGGGTGAGAAAAGGGGCGGCTTCTGAAAAGCCCATCTGCAGGTGGGAGGAAGTGGGTGCTTTTTGTGTGATTATCCTCCCTGCCCATCTCCAGCTCTCCAAGGCTAGGAGGGGGTCCCAAAGCTTGCTGCTGAGTGGCCACCTCCCTGGCCCCGCAGGAGGAAGGGGACCACACGGCTGCCCACCCCTCCTCAGCCAGACAGCTCAGTTCTCCCCACCGCAGCCCCCCAGCCGCACTCTCCCCGTCCCTCGGACTCACCTCCCTGGTGTTGTGGAGGCACTTGGCCTCGATGTCATATCGCTCCTCGTCCACCACCTCCACCTTGGCGTGCAGCTCCCGGCACAGGTCCTGAGGGAGGCCGATTGACGGGGCAGGCGTGAGGAGGGACAGTCTCCAGCCTCCCTTTTCGGCTTCCCTGCCCAGCACCCTTGGCCTCTCCCCAGCCCCTTTGCAAGGCCTGGGATCTCCTTTGCTCGCAGGCTAACGCTAAGCACGACAACTCAACGTGTAAACCCTTTGATCCTTTCTGTGTGTACTTGTTTTCTTTTCAAATAGTTTCCTTGCGATACGAGTAATCTGTTAATTGTAAAAATTCTGAAAACTAGGTGTGAAACAAAAATGATAAAACGAAAATAACCAGTGATTGCCACGACCTGGAGATAATCATTCATAACCTGCTGGTGTATTTCCTTCCAGTGTCTGTTCTCTGCCATCACTGGCATTTAAACCATTACCATTGTTTTGGAAACATTAAAAGGTGGGCGTATTGGCGCATGGGATTCCAGCTACTTGAGAGGCTGAGGAAGGAGGATCACAAGTTTGAGGCTAGCCCCAGCAACTTATTGTCTCAAAATAAAATAAAAAGGGCTGGGGATAGAGCTCAGTGGTAGAGCACTTGCCTAGTATGCACAAGAATCTGGATTCAATTCCCAGTATAGAAAGAAAGAAGGAATTGAACCTTTAAAAACAAAAATTTAGAGACCTATTGCTAGGGGAAGGAAGGACAAGTCTTTGGAAGAATGGACCTTCTCAAGTCCTGCCCGCCTCCCTGCTCCAGGCCATTCCATGGGCTGATGTGAAGGCAGGACTCAGCCCTGGCCCCAGCAAGCCTCTTCTCCCTTTGGGGCTCACTTCTCTCTCCTCTAAGATGGGATCTGGCCAGATGTGATGGTGCACACCTGTAATCCCAGCAAGTCAGAAGGCTGAGGCAGGAGGATCGTGAGTTCAAAGCCAGTCTCAGCAACTTAGTGAGGCCCTAAGCAACTTAGCAAGACCTTGTCTCTAAATAAAACATAAAAAGGGCTGGGGATGTGGCTCAGTGTTAAGCGCCCCTGGATTCAATCCCTGGTAAAATAAATAAATAAAATTTTTAATGAGATCGAACATGGCCACTCCCTGGGCAGTGGGAAGATTAAATAAGACCACATAAGGACAGAGTGCCTTGCAAGGTACAGAGCTGTGAGCCCTTGTTTGTTCAAGCTCCTCCCACCATATCCCACCTGTGTGGGCCACCCACCCCAGCTTCAGCCTGCCTGACTCACCTGCAGGGCGCTGAGGGACAGGCCTCGGGTCTGCAGCGTGGGGATGCGCTCGGCCAGGTAGCGCACCTTCTCAGCCTCTCGCTCCTCGTGCTCCTGCTCCCAGCATTCCTTGGCCTTGGCCAGCATCAGGCTCTGGACAGGACAAACCCTGTGAGTCTAGGGCCAGGCCCTTGTATTTCCCACTGAGCATCAGGGAGTGAGAGGAAGTTGGCTCTGGGCTGGGCCAGCTCTGAGAACACAGTTCAGTGTGGCTGTGTGTGCGGTGGCTAGCAAGCAGGCCACATCTAGGACACACCAAGCAATCACACCTGGCATCCGTGCCCCAGAGCTTGCTTTGCCATCAGTCTTCTTATCACTTTTTGCCTGTTTTGGCCCACAGAGCTCCAAAGATACAAACACATACCAAAATAAAGCAAGTCTCTCTGCCCCACCCCCACTGAGGCTGGTCCTGGCCTCCTCTCAGGACCCAGGTGGGTACCAGATCTGTAGTTCTAGGTTCCCACCTGCTGACCACCTGAGCCTGGCACTGGCTCCAGCCGTGGACAGGTTTCCTGTGCCTCTCATCATCTTGCTCTGGTCTCCTTCCTTTCCCCCTCTCTTGGCCCTCCGCATGACTTCAGAGTCTGCACTAGGCTCTCTGCCCCCCTCTGGGCATCCCCCAGGCCACACCCAGCCTCACCTTCAGCATGAGCTTGCGGGAAGCAGTAATCTTGGATTTTCTCTGAGGATGAGAAAAGGGAGAGACAGGTGGTAAGGTGGAGGTTGCAAAACTGGACTTCTGTCCAGGCCAGGGCAAGTGCCAGTTGATGTGCATCATCATTACCCAGAATTCTCTGCTCACATTAGGTCCCTTAAAAGTTCTGGGACTTTGGGGCTTAACACTTTGTGGGTTGGGGCTGTAGCTCAGTGGCAAAGCACTTGCTTTGCACGTGGGAGGCACTGGGTTCTATCCTCAGCACCACATAAAAAAAATACACAAATAAAAGAAATGCATGCTGTCCATCTACAACTACAAATAAAATTTTTTAAAGTTCATCTTTGTAATTTAACTCCTCAAATTCAGAGAATGTCACCATCAACTACCTTGATCTGGGGACTGAGGCCCCACTTCCCATCCTGGTTCTGCCTTTGATGGAATGTCATAGGAGACTGTGTAGGGCACCTTCTCATCCATAAATGAGGATGCTGAGATCCACCTTACCTAGGTTCACAGTTATTACCCAACAAAATGAGAACACAGATGTGCAAATCCTTTGAAAAACTTAAAAGTTGCCCATTTTAGCAACCTGGGTAGTAATGCCAGAAATACAAGCTGTGTTGCACAAATAAATGAAGCCAATGTATGTGGACATTTAAAATTTTAATGTTATTTATTTTTATTTATTTAATACTGAGAATTGCCCAGGTGCATTTTGCCACTGGACTACATCTCCAGCCCTTTTTCTATGTTTTATTTTGAGACAGGGTCTCGCTCATTTGCTGAGGGCCTTGCTAAGCTCCCTGAAGCTGGCCTCCAACTTACCATCCTCCTGCCTCAAATTCCCAAATTGCTGGGATTACAGGTGTGCACCATCATGCCTGGATAGATTTTTTTTTTAATATTAACACTACCATATAAAAGTTTCTAAGACATAAATACACCATTTTCTCTTCTTATCAAAAATATTAGTCTTGCCGACTAAATATATTCTACTAGAGCTTAATAAATCCCAGCTCTGTGGCAATGGTCCCTTGGGGGTGGTGAAGGTGAGAGGGCTGCCCCACCCTAGTTAAAGGGACTGTGCAACCTTCAAGCAGGCCCCTCAGGAGGGCCACTGTGGGCATGCCACCTTCTTCTAACGCTGTGCACTGGGAGGGCAAAGCTCTGGCTCCTTATAATAGTTCAGAAAGAGAAGGGTCAGGCTCTTAGTCAGCAGTTCTGGGGTGAAATGAGTGAGCTTCAGCACATGGAATGTGCAATTTCCACTCAAGACTATTCAGAGTGGTTTCTCTTTGTCTCTCCAAAAGCCTAATTTTTGCTACACTTCAGATAAGTGACTTTAAGAAGCATGGCCATCACTTTAACCATTACTGCCCGTGGTTCACACACTGTGATGGACCCATGGCAAATGCTCCACCGCCATCTTGTTTCTCCACCACTTGGTGAGCTTATGGGCACATCGTGTGACCATCAATCACTGGCATTAACTTTAATAGGAACCTGAGCAAAACTTGGAAATTCAAATGATTATTGAAACATAATGGATTTGATTCTCATTGAGAACCTCTGTGCCAAGTGTCCCTTCCATCAGTGCTGCTGATTCCTACCCCTGCTGTCACTGAATCCACAGCCCTGTCCCTGAAGTCCCATCCCAGGACTGAATATAGGCTGTGTCCTCAGCAGCCTAAATAAATCTGGATTGTAGAAAATGTTCAGAATCAGGGTGATCAAAGACCTAAGAAGGAATCCAAAGACACATCTTTGTTCCTTTCTCAGTGTTTGGCCACTGGGAAAGGGTGAAATGACCCCTACCTTTCAAACGTGGCTTTGCAGAGAATAAGCTCTGGCAAGAGACAGTGTGGACCCCCTCCCCAGAGATAGACAAGCTTTCAAAGTGGGTAGGAGAAAACTTGCACTCAGAGAGGGTACAAAGTCACACCCAGGCCTGCTGCATGCTATCCCAGCTGCAGGGTACCCACCAGTGACATTATATCCTGGATCACAGGAAGCCCCACATCCAGAATCTTCACCCAAGGTTTTTATTCTCCTGGGAATTTCCTCAGCCACTGGGCACCCCTCACCCCCACCTCAGCCTTGACCCAAGCTCTCTCCTCCCCTCCGATGCCACTGCCCCTTCACCAGTCTGAAGAATTCACCAGCAGAGAGACACTTACCTCACTTCAGGCATCCATCACAGGAAGGATGGGGGAAGAGCAGAAAACAGAGAACGTGAACAAAGTATTTTATATTTGCAGCAGCAGAACAGTTGGGGCAAGAGAGGGCAGGTGACAACAGCACACTGGGAAGAAATCAGGCCTCAGGTAGGAGGACTAGGTTGAGGGTTCCAGCAGAATAGAATAAAACCCATCAGCCTGTGGGCTCCCAGATGTTCTTTCTGGGGGTACTGTTCATTGGAATTTGGGGAGGATTCATGAGAGGTCAGGGAAGCCTTGACAGAGGTCCGCCATGATATGAAAAGTGCCATCCTGAGCTCGTGGGTTTTTTTCCAAAGCTTTGTTCAACTGTTGGACCGATGTTAGGTCATGGCCTGGTGCATGCACTTCATTATGTCAGCGCAGACAGGCAATTCTGGAACACAGGCCAAAGGTCTCTCCAGGGGAACTTGGAAATACAAGTTCCATTCCAGGGCTGGGAGGACATTTGGCCACCTGGGAACCATGGGGTGCTGACCCAGGCACTCAGGACTGTCTCTGTTTTAGGATCTGGTCGTGGGGGAGGAGCCTGGGGATTGAACAGAGAGTCCTCAGCTTTGGGCCTATAGTCTGTGGCAAGAGACTTGTCTCCCTGGAGCCCTGGATGGGGGAGATGACTTACACTTCCGGCATGGTGACAGCAGGGCAGCACCTAGAGGGCACAGAGAAATCATCAGGGGGGTGGGAACTTGTAACTCCTGTCCCCACCCTTCCAGCCAGCTGGGTCTTGGGGGTCAGCAGCCCAGCCTGGGAGACTTGGACCCAGAAGAAGTCAGAGTGATTCCAGCCCAGTGGGGATCCCAAGCTACAGCCCCCTGGCCAAATCAGCTCTCCCTGCACACCTTTTTTGCTTTAAAAGTGATGAAACCAAGAATATATGGACAAAACCTTTACAACGCCTAAAATATTTACCTATGGCCTCTTCTAGAAAAAAAAAAAGAAACTGCCAACCCCTATGGGGAACATAATCCATAGAAAACAGGTTAGAAAGTGAGGTGGGGCTTGCACAAGAAGGCTTGAAAGACAAGCTCTGTTTAGATTTTGCCCTGTGGGCGAGGACTCAGCCAAGGGAGGAGCAGGGTGGTGAATGAAGCAGAATGGAAAGGGACATGCCGGCAGCTGCCACGTGGCACAACTCCAGGGGGCAGCATTCAATACACAGCGAGGTGTCTGGCAGCCCTAAATAGGGCAGGGGGGGCCTGAACCAAGGAGGTTATGCCAGGAGGCAGGGCAAACCCTGTGCTCAACTCTAGTCTGCCCTTACCCTCTCTGGGCCAGTTTTTCTCTCTGCAAAATTCGGGGTTAGGTAAGCGGCTTCCCACTTAATACCCAGCTCTCAAACACGTCATTCAAACCAGATCTTCCTTGAAAGCAAAAGAAGTTCAGTCCAAAAGACAAAACCTGTTGGACCCTGGAGACTGGTCAGAAGCCCCCTGACCAGGTGGTTCCTGGGGCCCAGGATGAGGGGGGCTCCTTGAGGCTGCACAGTGAGATGTTCAGAGTCAAACCAGATTAGCCATCTTGCCTGGGCTTGGACATAGAAGCCGGAGGAGGCAGAGGAAGGGATTACGTTGAAGCTCAGAGAAAGGAAGAGGACTGCTGGGGTGGGGTCAGGTGTGCAAAATAGGAGAGGAAGCCTGGCCCGGACTGGGAGTACAGGGTAGATGGTTCAGTATGTCTGGGGGCAAGCAGGCATGGAGCCCAGCCCAGGGTCCAGAGTTTGGACTGGCTCAAGAATCTGGTTTGGAGCAGGGGAGAGCAGAATCTAAAGGACGCTTGCAAAATGCTACCAATAATTTCATTCCAGAGCCACCCTTCATCTGCCCTGATTCTCTCCTGTCCCTTTGTGCCCAAGAAACATCCCCCTGACCTCAATGACCAGGTCTGGGTCACTTTTCTGAGTTTCCCACCCTGCCAGGAAGCCTCCTGGGCCTGCCTCTGCCTCTGCCTCTACCTCTGCCTCAGGGGACAGTGAGGCTGGGGTAGAGGGGTGGGGAGGGCAGCCCCAGAGTCTCAGCTGTCTCCCTGGGGCACAAAGGGAGAGGTGAGGAGACGATCCATACATTCCCGAGATGCCTGGCTGAAATTAGATTTTATAGGCAGCTGCTTACTTTGAGCGCCCCACTCCTCTCAAGAGCTGAGGAAGTCCAAAAGGAAACACCAGCTGACAAAGACCCACCCTCTCGTTGGTGTGCACTCTGGCAATGCCAGCCTCCAGTGGGCATGGGGTCTCCGCTGAGTAGGTCGTGAGTCTGTCTGCCTGGGATGTGTCTCGCTCTTGGTGGCATTTGGTCACAGTCACCCTCCCTCTCCCCAGAGAGCACACTATCACCAATGCAGGGCCTACCTGCTGAGGTCAGCCTAGGTCTCCTGCCAAGCCCCAGGGCCTGCCCCCAGCCTGCCCCACTGACAAATGCCAGGCCAAGGGTCCCATGTCAGGCATGAAGCCTTAGTCTGTGCTCTAACACCACCAGATGGGACTGCTTGACAGGCCCTGCAGAAGATAAGTAGGGACCTGATAAGAAGTCAGGATGTAGATAGCAAATTCGAGGCTTGGAAAAATGGGATTCCATCCCTATAAGTGGAAAGCCAGGAGATAATCACAAATGCTACAAGAGGAGGGAGGAACCAAAGACCCTCTGGTACGTGACTTAGGGTTTGCTATGCCTGTCCCTGAGGCCCATAGAGTTGAAAGACCCGTCAACGACACTATGATATGAAAGCTGTATGTATAAATGTGAGTGTATAAGTGATTGTGTGTGTGTGTATGTGTGTGTGTGTGTGTGTGCGCGCGCGCAAGCGCGTGGGCATGTATGTCCGTGCACCCAAGACTGAGAAAGAGAAAGAGATCAAGAAAATGAGTAGAGAACAGAACTCACCTCTCTGCACCAAATAGTTATGGATGCAAATATCTAGTTAGGCTCCTGCTCTGCCCCTCATTCCCAACCCTAACCTTGGACCCTACTCCAAGAACATCCCCTTCCTCCTTGACTGGCTGTTAACTAGGCCAGAATCCCAAGCCTGCAGCTGAGTGTTGTCTGCCGTGCACCCACCTCCACCTGAGCTCCCAGCAAGAAAGCCTGCCCTCAAACAGCTTTGGGACCGGGACTCCCAAACCCAAGGCAGGAGCACCCCAGCGACCACCAGCAGCCTCACTCCCGTGCCCAACCAGGGATCATCACTGCAGATATTGCCCTAGCTTCTGTGGTCACAGCCCCACCCACCATCTGCCCCACCCTAAGAGGACCCCCAACAACTCTTCTACTCCTCAGAGCTGGGAGTGGTGAAGAGGGGCTGCCAATCATCTTCACCTGCTGGTGTCCTGAATAGAAGGATGGGCAAATGGAGCTGAGAGTGTTCCTCCACGACAAAGAACAAAGAAGCAAGATGGTTTCCTTAGTCGGGGTGGGAGGTGGGTATGGTTCTGGTTCTTCTTCTAAGCTCCCAGAAAGACTGCAAGCCAGAGAGCCCCTCTCCCAGCCATTACTGCTCAGCAGGTTCTTCCTCAACTTCCAAGTGCAGCCTCTCTGAGGCTCCAGAGGGCCCCTTCCCCTAGGCACCCTCTCCCTGCTGTGACCTGCAGGGTCAGACCTTATGAGAACTCGGTCCACCCAGCTCTGCCTTGGGGACCCTGAAGAAGCTGCTGGAAAAGTCTGGCTCTGGCTTCCAGCCTCCAGGGAAAAATTTTGCTTCCCACAAAGACAGTTCCCTCAAGACAGAGGCCATTCTAAGGGACAAAAGGCTGGGAGCCTTTAGGGAATGTTTGACCAACACACCCACTTACACAGGCAAGAAATATCTGCTCCCCTCTCCAAGACCTCGCCTCCTCCTTAGACAAAAGCCCCTGCTTCTCTGCCTCGATGTGACCTGGTCTGCAACCCCAGGCAACAGACACTTACCTTGATCAATCTCCGAAGAATGGGCTGCTCAGAGCCTCACTAGACAGCAGACTGTGGGGGGCAGAGCCCAGGGCAAACTATGAAAGCTGTGGCCTGCGGCAACTGGCCAGTAAAAATAGAACAGACCCGCTGCCCCTCCTGCCGCCCCTCCCCGCCCCTCTCCCCACACCCCCCTCAGCAGGCAGATGCACCCTGCAATACACACCGCAGACACACAGGCTTGAAGATGAGTATGTGCCCAAATCCTGTGCCCACAGAGGCCACCAGCTGAGGAAAATCCACACTGTCCTGGGGGAAAGGAAGACAGTGAAGAGCCAGGCCAGAGGGGGGACTGGGAAGGGGAGTAAAGGAGAGCAAGGGGTGTTTAGACACCCCCAGGAGCCAACAGGACTTGGCGCAAAGGAGCCACCAGGCGGACCCCATCACTCTTATAAGGAAATGTGCAGATCAAGCCCCAGGACACACTGCAAAATTTCAAAGGGCCAAAGACTTGACTTTGGAGACTATTTAGTGGCTCTGGTGCCATTGGGTAGGAGGCTGCCTGGGGCATCAGACAGCTCCTGTGAGTGTTCCTGGGGCTGAGCTGAGGGACCATGGCGACAAGGCCACTTTACGCTCAGGGGAGCAAGACCATCTGTAGCCACTCTGCAACCCCCTCCAGGTGAGTTTCTGGAATCTGGGTTTCCAAAAGGCACCCGGCATCCGATGCCTGAGACTTGGTGACGCTGGCTCACCCCTCCCCTCCACACCTCCAGTCTCCATCTCCAGCCAGAGACCCAGCGACTCCACAAGGCTGGGGCCACAGGGGCTGCACCTGTTCGCTGGGTATTTTTAGGACTGTTGATGAACACATAATACCCACCCTATAGTCAGAGAAAGACAATGCCTGCTATGTTAATCCTGTGGCTATTATAGTCGGGCATGTCATGGGCCAGGATCCCATGCTGGGGCAGGGCAGGCAGGACACTGACCTTGCTTGGAGGCCAGGGAGAGGCCTCACCATGCTGCAGGAGGTTAGGGAGCTCTCGCTGAGCTCCCCATGTGGTGAGGGAGAGAGCTGGTGAACAAGGGTAACCTAAGGAGATGTGCCCCCAGTGCCCACAGAGAGGTTAAGGCCCTGCCCTGGGGACACTGACAGTCTGCTCCTTAATGCAAGAGGCTCCAACCCTGTTCTGGTCAAGTCAGCTCTGAGAAGCTCTGTGTTGGAAACTGCCAGGGCCAAAGACAGGGTCTGGGAAGGTATGGGGGTGGAGCATAGTGTCCACATGGAGGGTCTGTAATGAGAAATAGATAGAGACCCACCACAGGAAGCAGCTAGGAATCAGAGGACCTGGGGGTTTAGGGGATGCATGTACTAAATTCATTGCCTTGGCTTTTTATGTTTATCATGTAAGCAGTAACCTTCTTAGAAGACTTTCATACACACAGTCTTCCTTGGCATGTGGAGTGAGTACATGGGCCTCCAGAGCCCATGAAAAATGAGTTGTCTGCATCAATTATCCTGCTTTCTGAAAAGGATTGACAGAAGCACAAAAGAGAATCAAGAGAAACCTGAAAAGTAGGTGACCAGATGTTCATAGCATAATGTGGTGGACGCAATGCAGACAGCAGGGCCTCCTCTCTGCAGGAATCACAAGATTGTGGACTCTGAGAGTTTGGAGGTGTTATTCATCCTCAGACTCTGTTAGGAAGTGGGGTCCCTGGATCTCTCATGCTAGGTCCCAATGTCCTAACTCCATTCCTACCAT